CAGCAGTAGCGAGTAACTACTGAGAGCAGTCTGAGGAGGAATGCAGCTCGATACACTGGGCATCGTGACACATCACTCCCGTGACCATCACCAAAATGATCTGCCATCTGTGCTACAGTAGCCCTTCTGTTGGTTTGTACCAGACAGGAGAGCCTTCATACATCCTGCATCGATGAGTCTTGGCCACCCAACACTGTCAGCGGTTCGCGGTTTGTCCCTCCTCAGACTGCTCTCAGTAGGTATTCACCATGGCTGAGCTCCCCACAAACCTTGCTGTTTTGGAGATTCTCTGACCCAGTTGTCTGGCCATGATGATTGGGCCCTTATCAAAGTCACTCAAATTTTTATCCCTACCCATTTCTTCTGCACTCACCATGTTGACTACTAGTATTGACAGCTTAGCTTCTAATATATAATTATATATAATATAATTAATATATAATATGATATAATATATAATATATAATACCATAAATATTAATAACATTAAGTAAACCAATCACAGTTTAGTTAATAGAGTTTATCATATAAAGGAAGTCGTCCTAAACAACAATAATTCAGAACGTCTTACTTGCCAAACTTCTTGCACTTATTGACATTTCTGATGAAAGCTTTTCATATTTTCCATTACGTGTTACATATTTAGCAGATATATTTATCTAAAGTAACATACATTTTTGAGAAAGCAGGGTCTTCCAGGCCCTCAGACAATTAGGGGCACAATTGCTCAAGGGCCCAAAAATGAAATCACTCTGCTAGCCTTGAGATTAGGGCAATTAGCTCTCTAATCACAAGAATGGTAGCCTAACCCACTGAATCACACTATTGCACAGGGCAAATGCTAAAATAGTTCTGAAACTACAGAGTATAACAGTTTAAATGTCATTATGTTACAGTTTTGTCAATCTTAATATATTAATAAATTTTATGTTAATGTTGGCGGGGCGGCATGGAGGTGCAGAGGTTAACACTGTTGCCTCACGGGATTTGAGTCTCCGCCATGGCTCCATGTATAAAGTTTGCATGTTCTCTCTGCATTGTCATGAGATTTCCCCTCTGGATACTCCGGTTTCCCTCCACAGTCCAAAAGCATGGACTGGAGTTGTCAAATTGTGTGTGTGTGTGTGTGTGCGTGTGTGCCTGTGCCTGTGCCGGTGCCTGTGCCTGTGCCTGTGCCTGTGCCTGTGCCGGTGCCTGTGCCGGTGCCTGTGCCTGTGCCGGTGCCTGTGCCTGTGCCTGTGCCGGTGCCTGTGCCGGTGCCTTGCATCTAGCCCTGAATCTAGCACTGTCATGCTTATGGGATATGTTCCACAGCCCTAAATCCCATAGGACAAACAGGTATCGTGGATGGAATTAGTGATAATGTTAATAAATTAATATTTATATTTTACAGTGGTACCTCAGAACTCGAACTTAATCCGTTCAGAAGTCCGGATGGAATCCTAAAAAGTTCGAGTTCTGATCGAATTTTCCCCCATAAGAAATAATGGAAAACCAATTAGTTGGTTCCCGGCACCAAAAAATTACACCTAAATATGTTTTTTTAGCATCTAAACACAAAATGAACTGGATAAAACAAGAAGAGCATATACTGTACTAAACACATCTAAGCACATTTATCAAAACAGTAATCCAAACAATGTGTAAAGTAAAAAAAAATACAATGTGTCCTGCCCCGATCATCCGCTCCTTCCGTGTGCCATGCCCCCTCGTTAACCCCGTGTGGAATCTCCATGTGATCAGCTGTTTCTGGTTGTCAGTCCTCTGTATTTAGTCCGCGTTTCAGTTTGTTTCCCCAGTCCGGTCATTGTATTGTCCGTCTGCGTTTTGCCTGCCTTACCTGTAATTAAACCCTGTATTCCCTGATACCCTGACGTCTGCGCCTTTGTGTCTGTTCTGTGCCCGCTCAGCACGACAGTATTATTATAATTAAATGTATTAATGGTTTATTATTAATATTAAAATAATTAATACAAAATCTTTATTTTTAAATGTATTTTATTATATAATAATAATAATTACTGTTACTGTCTATCATTGTCTAAATGTATTTTTACTGTCTAAATATATGCATTCAGCTAGTGTAAACATGCACGATGCTATCACAGCAAATGTGAGGCTGAGACTGAAGCGTTACCCTTTGTTTCCGCTGAGAGGCGTGCCGGGTGACTCATTTCCTGGCACATACAAGTTATCTTAGGTCGGCCTTCACGGTTTGACTTCTGAGATTCAGAATTAGTTCTAGGTAATTTTTTTCGAACTGGTTGGTTCGACTTTTAAGAAATTCGAGTTCTAATGAGTTCGAGAACTGAGGTACCACTGTATTATACTATGTTTACATATTATAACATGCCACCAATTTATTTAATTCTATTTCAGTCTTATTTCCTGTATATAATGTAAAACTAAATGAACGTAATGAGAAGTAACATAAAAAACACATCCACATTACAGTCGCTTATCCATAGCTGCAAGATATTCATGTCAGTTCAATCAATCCGAGCCAAATCGTGAAATATATAAAGATCTCTGACTCCATCTTGTGGAATACTGGCGAAATGGCAGTGAGTTTTTGGCACATCTATTTTTCTAACGGCTAGTCGGTTTATACTCCGCTTTAAAACTGTGTGGAAACGAATCTAAATCATCAATCGTGATAATAATTCAGTAACTGTCTTTAAGTAATGGGATCACTTTCTCACCACAATCTAACCACCACAGACTTTGTAAGAACAGAATGCAATGACGCGGAGATATAGGTCTTGCACTGAAGAGCCGCAGAACTGTTTCCAGCCTGTCTTGGATATTCTAACGTGGTCTTGTAACATTTTGATAGCGATATAATATGTTGTGCTTCTTTATTTTTTTTAAAATAAATAACCTATTACATTTCGACTGAACCGAATCTCTGTTACATCTAAATGTGATAAAATAATTATCTAGTGAAAGTACACTTTAAGAAACTTGTGAAATCCAGGTATCCAGAGGACCATATACTAGCGTATATTAAGTTTTAGAACATATCTGGTACGACGATTCTGAGTATTTGGCCATAAAAATTGATTTGACAGAATGGAAGGGAATCTGCTGCTATTCTAAAGGTTTTTGGTTTATAATGAAAAGAAAACGCCGGTAAGCCGCTATCTTGCAATTAATGATAGGCTTAATAGGTGTTTTATGATGACATGAAATTGGCCGATATATTGGCCTACATAGTCCCCAGTCATTGCCAGTTTGATATATCGGGAGCCTAGACTATAAACTTTAAAGAACATGGGCCTATTCAATGTACTGTATTGTTTTCGCGTTAAGAAAACCAACGAACACATAGCTTATGTAGGCCTGTATAGGGTAGATGCATGGAATTACTTAAATTTTAAACCCGTTGAATTGTCTTTTTCTGAAAGGCACGTTGTTCATTACAATATTAATACCTTTATTTGTCTGCGATGAATCTGGAATATCTCATCAAAGGATGCAACGCAAAACAGGATATAAATCCGCTAGAAACGAATAGTTCTAAAATCGGTCATCACACAATGAATGAAGATTGTTGGAAACAGACAATAATTGTTCTCTTTCAGCGCAGAAAGGAGCGATAACGTAAGGGAAATGAGAGGACCGTTGTTGCTATAGCCATTGCTATAGCAAAGAAGAAGAACTCCCTGTTGTCCGTGAATGGCTTTTCTTTTCCCCAGAATAGATATAGCACGAATTTGTTATTCGTTTTTTCATTGAGACAACAAAGCTGCATTTAAAAGCACTGCACAATTTGGGTTTTGTGGGGTCTTTTTTTTCGCCTTCCCTGGCCCAGCTGTCCATATGGAATACAACGTGTACAACAAGGACCACAATGTCACCAACCGACAAGCACAACAAAACCTAAGGATACGTCTTCTCCCAAACTCCGGGATGCACTACACCAGACGAAGTAATTGAATAGCACGCAAAAAGTGACAGTCTCACTCTCTCCTTCTCTCTCTCTCTCTCTCTCTCTCTGCTTCTACCCTTGCACTGTCTGTGCGCACTCCCGCTGTCTACTTGTTAATATGCACGCCTCTTACATCTACAACAGCCGACCTCTCGGCTTTGTGTGGTTTTTGTGTTGTCTACTGTATATTGAGCAGCGATTGACTACACAAAAACTGTTCTGTCACAACGCGGAAATATATGGGCGGTGGGGTTACAGCCACACGCAGAAATCAACATGTGTTATTGACTTGAGCGTCATCCAAACGACGCCATTAGAACATAGTAGAACATTCTGTGCACACCCGAAATGAATGGGCAGATTAGTGCATAAGAATAGGTCAAACATAGCCAAGCGTAAATTTCATGATGTTCCCTCGATGACATTCATCAAGTTATATATAGAGTTACATTCAAAAGCGTTTATGTGCAGCCGTTTTATTTGCCTCACAAACGCTGCACCCCACGGATTAATTTAGTCTCTTTAATTATTTATGGAATATTTCATTTCATTTCACGAATATCTTAATTATACTGTTGTCATTAGCCTACTATTAAACTACATTACAAATTAAAAATCTACATGTATATAATTATTTATCCATTTTCAGTTTCGATAGTTTAATTAAATTTTTATTGGCATTAAACACGAGTCGGTAAAAAAAATCTTGAAACCGTTCAGATAAAAAAGTGTAAATTAAACATAGCCTCATGAAAAGAGTTCCCAGGTCAGTTCAGCCTAAAATGCATTGCGGATGCATTAAACCTACACACATGCCCCTAGAGATAGAATTCTGTAAATAATTAACAATATTCAGTTGAATAGTTTGCTCGGTAAATCGGGTTAAGCAGGTAACATCTGCTGGAACACAAGTACACGGTCCAGATGACGATCCTATTACGCTATCTTCTGAATTCAACTTGTCACAGACAGATTAATGAATAAATCCAGAAATTGAATTTAAATTATGTTTTTCATTATCGTTATTGTGCAACATTGTGCAAGAATGTTAAATATTCAAATATCAGACGTTGGATTAAAATGTTTAAAAACCTTAATTAAATAACTATTTAATTCTATGCAATAATCGCATAGCCTATCAGTAGATATTACTATAGTTAGTAACTTTTGTTTTATTTACCGATCACTAGCTACATACAAATGGGATACAAAAATAACATATTTTACTGAATCAGTACATGGAGATTAACATAAAATCCAGTTTTCAAAATGCTAATCCAACAAATGTCATTCTAACGCCTGAGATGACTTTCAATTATTAAATTCTGCAGAATACATATCTAAAAAAAAGTCTTAGGCGTAACAGTCAATCCCTAGGTCCTGCAAGCCTAGTTTTTATTAACATGCAAAGCACAAGGGCTGTTACTATAAATTACTATTTAAAACAAAGAAGCATAATTTTGGCGTCGCACAATTCACACCACATGTATTAAAAATGAAGTTTCAACGTCATGCAACATAGTGAGTCACGCCGGAATTATTTAAGTATTGAAACACGGTAATGTTTTATTTAATCTCCAATAAAAACTGTGAGTTCATTAGTCAATGCCCACTTTAACTATAAAATACACACCTTTATATCCAGAAACTGCTTGCCATATTTTTTTCCAAAATGTGCCTGTCTTATTGAGCTTAATGAAAAGCCCAATTTGAAAACCGAATACCATTGATATCTTTACAAAAAGAAAATTAATTAAACGAACTTTAAAAATCGCAGGATCATTCATAACCATAAATACGTAGATTTAATACAAAGGAGCTCATGTGTTTCTTTACAAAATGTTGATTAATTTAAAGTGGTACACGTGCTGAATACACGAGTCACGCAAAAAGCAAACTTGCATACAACACATAAATTTACTATATAAAATGATAATACGAGCAATGACATTCGTTTATGTAAACCCAGTCTTTGTGATGTAAAGCTGGGCGTTCATATAGTCTCCAAAATAGGAAATAGAGGTTAAAAGTTCAAAAATGCAGTCTTTGTTTCCACCTTGTAAAGCTGAGATGAAGCATCAATGGTTCACCAAGTCCACTGCTGTGTTTGCGCCAGTTGATGCGCTGTAGGAAATGGTGATATGGCGGCAGAGCTATAGTGAGCTGTATATTGCATATGCTGCAGGGACTGTGCACTGTATGCTGACAAAGTGATCCCAGCGTGAAGAGTAGCCGCGAAATCCTGAGGTTTAAGAGTTTGGCAAGGCTTGCCGTCCCTCACTAAAACAGGTACAGCTATACGCCTTGGGGAGGGGAGATGGCCCACTTCCATACCTTTTTCAGTCCGAGCTCTTTTCATTTTGTATCGATGATTCTGGAACCAGATTTTCACTTGTGTTGGAGTCAGGCGGATTAAACTAGCAAGATGTTCTCTTTCGGGTGCTGAAAGATATCGCTGCTGCCTGAATCGCCGCTCTAGTTCATATGTCTGCGCCTTGGAAAATAAAACTCTTCTCTTCCTCTTCTTGCTGGAGTCACCACTGCTGTTTGAAGTTTCTTTGTCGTTGTCTTGCGATTCGTCAGCGGAAGGTTCCGGAGACTTGTCAGATAAGTCCCGATGAGAACTGGCTGTCAGACCATGCACTGGGTGGGGAAAAAACACTGATAATATTTTTAAATACTAAAATACCGATCAAGTTCCATTCTTTCATACACACACCCGGACATACTGCTGTAAATCGGGCATTTCTCCCTCTAATTTTGGATTTGACAGAATATCGAATAGAACAGCAAATTCTATCAACGCGTTTTAGACTACAGGCTATAGGTTTAAATAGGAGTAATACGTTATGAATAGAATTCACGTTATAAACCACACATTCTAAACAATATAACACAAAAGCAAGTCTTTGTGGAAAATGTTACATGCTACTACTGCCTTTTCTGCTTGGCTTGTTATCATCATCATTCTGGCATTTGAAAATGAATTTGAGCCACAAAAAATGGCAATTCACTTTAAATATGTAGAGCTATGCCATTATACTCTACTAATAAAAACAGATAATTTAGCTTTCTAATTGCAGAAAACGAAAACAGTATTCCTACTGATTATTCGGGGATGGTTACCAGTCTTCAGAAATAAGGGTGCAGCCCTGGTACAGTTTTGTTCCCCAAGGTACAAACAACAATAACGTACCCCTAATTATACAAAAATGTCCCTCAGAGCCCATTTCTGTACCTTAACAGGTACATTAATGTACAGCTATAGGGTACAATTGGCAAACCCTTTAGGGTACAGCCCCAGGGACAAGTAATTGTACTCTTAAATATACAGTTTTGTACTTTTTTTCTTACAGTGTAATATACGGTAGTCCATTAATCGTTTTTCACAGTTTTCATAAATGTAATAATGCAAGGTACTTATTTGCGAATGTTGCCCTGGATTAATGATAAAATATTAAGTAAGATTTCGTAAAAGGTACTCACATGAGTAATGAATTGCATCCGTAGTGGCAAGCCATCTTGTGTAACAGTTATCGCTATGACTATGAAAGTGGGTCTTTATAGACAGATTTTTAACATTCTCCATGGGACTTTTAAGCAAGACTCCAGTTGTCTCTGTTACTTCAGATTCCTCCGCGTCTTCCTCTGCATCTTCCGCGATAGATCCTTCCTCATCATTCGTATCAGGAAGGTCCAGTATGTCCTTCACAGAAAAGCCAGTCTTTGTGTTTGTCAACGACATTTTTGCGGAAATATATCGAGATGCACAAGCGGTTTGATAATCCGAAATTTGTAGAGCACAAGAAAGGGCAATTAAATCTGAGGTGAATGGGACTGAAAAAGTACAGACACCGATTTAGCGACCGTTGAGGCGAATGACCATTTGACCACTGGCCATTTAGCTAATAGAGCAGTGAAGGAATCAGCCCTGTACGTCCTGCGGTAGTGTTAGCGATGTGAATGGGAGCTCTACTGCTGGCTCTTGCCAAGTGGAAACAAGGCTCTACCGGGCTGATAAGTCCATATAAGGTTTTACTGCACATATGAACCTGCAGTGAAAAAAAAACACAGAAAGCAAAAAAAATCTTGGCCACGCGTGGGCGGGTCTTCGGAGTCAAGTGGATGAAGATAGTGTTTGCTGATGTGAAATTGTAGGTTTTATTCTGATTCGAACCTATTGCTATTGGTACTTCTGAATATGATGGGTGGCATAAAACGTCAATTAAATGTAAATATGGGGAGTGACGTATTCATACAGCATTTACATACAAATAACTTTAACGAAAGCACTGAGCTGAGAAAAGCTGGTAGATTGTTTTAACAAATATATCCAAGTATAAAGCAAGCAAACAGTAAAAGAACATTGATGAAGATAGAGGAAATCCAAAGAGCGAGTATGTTAGAGTCAATATTTTAATCTAAGTGTTGTCTTAAGTGCATTAATCCACAAAGTCTTGCTTGTTCAGACAAAAGCTAAGGGCATTATCAATAAATCAGTTTCGCACCTATGCATACGTGTACATTCTGATATGCCCATGCAAATTATCATGTCTGATGTACAATACATGAAATATTAAACCACATGTAGCCTACGTCCAAACTGATTCAACCATATTGCATAATACTAATGCTACTAATAATAGTTATTATTATTGTCATTATTGTCATTGTTGTTGTTGCTGCCGCTGTTTTCATCGTTATTGTTGCTGGTAAGCGGTGTTCAACACAGTACCATGGTCATGATTGTATATCTAACCTTTAATAAATAATACATCTGCGAATATAAAGAGATCTGCCGTTTGGAGGTGAAATTACAGTTGACCTTTATTCGATTGAGTTCTTAATAAGTCAAGGTCCCTGAATACACACTGAATTATACTCTATTTTTCTTGATATTTAAATTTGTTCATATAACAGATGTTTTTGTTCAAAACGATTTGTCTTTGTATCTAGATTAAAGAACAAGAATCATTTATGTTTAATTGCTGGTTTTATAGTATTACCTAACATGATCCTATCTGGAACATACCTGATATTTATTTTTGAAAACTTTACTTATCTTTTCTGATTTGTGTTTTGGTTTCGTTGAGTTTTTCCTCATTGCTTCTCTGCCTAGTATGTGATGTGGGTGACAATGTTTCACGTTTTCAGCAAGTCTTTTGCGCATCCTGGGTGGTCGGACCCAGGCAAACACAAATACAAACCGATTGCTAAGCTGCGGACAATGGCAGAGATGTAGACAAATGTCCGGCTCTTTTTGGAAGCCTTTGTCCGGGCTCAGTTTTTGCATTTATTTCAGGGGCTACATAATAGATGATTGACGCTCTTGCACAATGTGTTCTAACTGTTTGGAATAAATCTGAGGTTGTCCCTAGTTGTCATGGCATTCAAATGCTTTCAAAGCACTATCTCTTTATTCATTTTTGATTCCTTCCACAATATTAGGAAAGTCCTTCATGGCCACTCCTGTCTCTGTTCATACGTTCTCTTATTCGCTGAGCAGAGAGAGAAACGAAATGAAGTACAGGTCAAAATCGTTAATCGGGAAACCTGCCCATATATATGTTTCGATTTTATTCCCGGAATAGTACTGTGCACTTGTTTGCAGTTGTAAATAGATTATAACATTGAAACAATGTGTATTTTAACAAAAATGGTTAACTGCAAACGTTCCATGACGTTTTTAAATTCATTAAAAAAAAACGTAGGCCTACTCATATTCATTAAAAAATCACTGTTAATCTCTATAAGGCATAGTAGCGTCGATGCATATTAACTAGGTCTAGGCCTATAAGGGAAAGTATTGCATTAAAGCCAACCTTCAACATAAAAAAAGTCTGATATTTCTTGATATTCCAGGTTGTTTTTCATAAGATAGTCCTTCGAAAGATAAAAAAAAAAAATACTGCTACGCATCACATAAGCAAACATCTCAAGCGAGTAGCTACTTACGCTCATGCTTAAACTACTTTAAAAAGGCCTGTCGCCTATTAGGCGAAAGCCGTTTTGTGCAGGTTTATTTAATTTTAACAGACCAATAATGAGGGTTATTTAACAAATCTGAAACTAATTGATAACACGCATTTCAATGCAATCATCCAGGCCATCGTGTTTTAACGACGCTGAAAGTATATACTAATAATAAAAAAACATGACAGAAGCACTTGACAAAACTGCATGGGAAACACAAATGTGGATAAACAACCATCTGATATTTTCATGAAGTATTATCGCATGTTGTGTGAGGCGTTTATTGATGTACATGCGTATTAAAAACCGTATCACACACACAAAGGGTATGACTCTATATTTGCAAATATGTAAGATCAAAAAACCCATGGTGTGTCAGATCAGTATACTGGATTTGTTTGCAACCAGCTGAAATAAAATAAAGTAACAAACAGCACGCAGAATACCCTAATTATATACGATAAAGCCAAATTTCGAAACATCTAGTAATACGGACAGAAAACATAATTTTATAGGCCCTACCATTCAGAAATTAAGCTTAGGAATTATTATCGATTGTTTCATAATACTCAAGCAAAAATATGCCATTGATTTCTGGTTTTAATATTATGAAAAACTAAATAATATTTGCATTTACTTGTCCATCCGTCCATCCATCCATCTGTCTTACAACTGTTTTCCTGGAAAGAGGCGAGGGGAGCCTGCAGCTTAATATAATTGTTCAGCTTTGTAATAATTCTGTTCAATAAGGGTTACAACCAGGGTTTGAATTACACAGTGGCTTTCGGGGAAGCCCTATTTTCCGGTGTGCATCACCACTTCTAAGTCACATGCACGCGCATACATAAAAGTGCGCGGCAGCGCGGTCAGTAACATCGTTACTGCGAAAATCATTACTATAAGCGAATAAATGCATGCTATTATTTTTTATTTGAGAAAACTTAATGTACAAAAAAAATATAATATAAAATATAACCTACAACACAAAAATGAATATTTTTTTAGAGCTCTCCCTGAATGTCTCAGTAAAGTCTTTCAGGAGAGCGCGTGTCCTATTCAGTGGAGCCAAGCTCCCCTTGGCGCCCCCGTAATTCTAACCATTGTTACATTATAGATTTCCAGTATTTGTGAAAGCTTTTTTATAACGTAAAGTTCAAAAGGTATTAAGATTAAAACATCAAAAGAGTAAAAGAATCAGGTGTGTGTTTTCTCGTATTTCTTATTCTAAAGGAACACTGGCAGCAGATCTGAGGTGTTACACACCTCCCAGAAACATATAAAGGATAAAGCACTTCATTCATTTAATTACCCTTAAATACAAAATCTTTTTCGATTAGATCGGCGCGGATGTTCCTGTATGCAGAATATAGATGCCATTATTTCACCATTATCTCACTAGTTGATTTCTCGTTTGATTATGTTTCAGTCATGGGCGTTGCTAGACCTCTATTACTGGGGCACGCGCCCAAATATTGATAATGTCGTACCCCAGTAGAATCAGATTTTAGACCTTTAATTAGCTCCTGTTATTTGGTAGTGTATTTATGTAGCTTGAAAACAACTGGAAAAGAACAGATTTGTTCTAATCCACAAAGTCAAAGCAACGCAGTTGAACCCAAAATATAATCTGAGGTGCGCACCTTGCAGTCCGGTTCCGTACACCGCGGCGCGCGCATTACTGTCTGTGCACGGCAGTGTGCAATGTATTATGGTAACATTTTACTTGATTTAGTTTGACTAAGTCAAGTAAAATGACTAAGACTTAGTTTGTGGTTAATTAATACATAAGTAACATTTAATTTCTTTTATATAGCTCCTTTCACTTTAGAGTCACCCAAAGTACTTTACATGAGTGTTTCTTTATACATCACAACATCATTAAGACAGAATAATATAAAAACAGGGAAAAGGAAAGACAATGAAATTGAAGAAAGAAAGCCAGATGACAACAGAGGAGAGGAACCAAAAAGTCCTAAGTACGAAGAAAAAAAAACCTCTAGGGGTCCAAGATCAACTGGCTGCCCAGTGGGCTTGATTGCTAAAAGCAAGGTGTAAACTGTAGTCAAGGTCAAAGCTAAAGTCATTTGGCATCCCAAATATAGGCTGACAAACCATTCCACAATATAGGGGCCCTGTAGCAGAATGCTTTACCGCCAACAGTCACTTTATATGTGGAACAAGAAGGAAACCAGCGTTCTGTGATCTGAGTAGCCAGTTCGGGTTGTAAACCTGAAGAAATTCTGTGAGGTAGACAGGAGCTAAACATTTAAGTGCCTTATATACAAGTATGATAACTTTGAAGTCAGTCCTGAGCCTAACAGCAAGACAGTGCAGCGAAGAGTGGCAACACGGCGGGACTAAAAGTAAGTTTTTAAATAATAACGACGATCTTATTTTGATTTCTATTTGACGCAAACATTATTGACTCCTGTAGATGGACATCAGTGTAGCATTGGCGGTATATAGTGGGGAAAGCAAGGGAAGTTCAAATATCACATTACAGTACATAGCACATTTCATACACGCAATCACAATTGTGTAATATGAGTAGAGCTTCATGTCTAGCAGCGGTCCTGAGATCACGAATATAATTCCCATAATTTAGAAAATGCTTGGTTAACATTCTTCAAGTTCAAGGAAATTACATTCACAAATGATCACGACTGCAATCGATATGAAAACCTCTGCCTATAATTCAGAGAAAATATTTATTATTTATCGCTCCAATTGTTAAAAAATAATACGTAGTGTTTACGCTCTTAACATAAAGAATGTAAAACATGGTCCACGCGCTCTTAAACTGGTGTGTAGGCCTATATGTGAAGATTTATTCAACAGAATAGAATTATGTGACACCTTTGCATTTCTGAAGCATCTGCAATACTCTAGCGAACTCTAGTGACATCGCAGTAAATTATCGAAGGGAATCCCAATAAAGCACACTGCAGATTAGCGCACTGAAAAAAAAAATCAATTGTGCAGGAACTCATCTCTCCATTTATAAATTCCATATATAAATTGTAT